TTTATTGCTCGAGAATGATGATCGATTGGGTATAAACTAAGACATTTAAGCAGGGTGTCTATGCTTCTTAGGGCTTATTTTTAGATACAGATATGTATTGGTGACTATCCTTCTAAGTTGGAAATGAATGGCATATGGAATTTTATTTCTTTTCCCTTAGGGTGAGCTATTTCTAGAAGCTTCATTAATTCTTCATGCTAATCGCAAAGTAAATGAAGAACCGTATTTCCACCAGGAAGAATATTGAGAAGAATTTCTTGTATAATATTTTCTTAAAGATCTTCTATCTTTAATTTTCCTTATACTAACTATTCTATCAAACTCCAATGAGCAAAGGAGAAGGAAGTAATGCTACTATCTCCAGAATTTTCTAATTTAAACATGTGTGGAACGATTTGATTCAATTTTTACTTGCCTTCTAATAAGTATAAGGATTTATAATTCTGATATGATTATTTAATCAAGTAAATTGTATCAAAATAGCTAGGCTGGAATAGGTAGTAAGGGGCAATTTTATAATCCATCTCATCGATTTCATTGAAAAATGGAATATAATTAAACCCAAGTTATTAGAATCCATTATCAATGTGAACCAATTTTTCAATGCCATCTTCACTAACAATTTTAAAAGTTTCATCATCAATGAATATAAACCTGTAAATTATAAAAAGTAAATTTTAACCACTCTCTACCCTCATTAGATCTTGAGGTATCTGATAAAGCACAAGTCCAGTATCAAAATCTTTAATGAGAAACTAAGTCTTAGAAGAGTCCAGTGTGACATATCTTAAAAAGTTTGGAGAAAAAAAATGTGGTAAATCATTGAAAATTTGATCATCAATGAATTCTGAAGGAAAATCATGAATATTTCTGATAAATTCAAGTTTAACCCTGTTGGAAGAGTTGCTTTCTTTTTAAAACTAATACAGCAAGCATCTAGAGTTTTAAAACTTTACGAACAATTTTTTAGTATCCTTACTTATGAACATCTCTTGGAATTCCTCATACAAGATATAGTCAAAATCTAAGATCTCAGTAATTTCTCTTTAATTTTTAATTCCAATAAGCTTGAAGTTCTTTATTGTGAATTTTTATGTCAAGCAATAAGGTAACTGATAGGGTAAATTCTTTTTCAACTGCCAGGATTAAACGTAATCACTTATATTGCTATCAGATATTGGTTTTTTTGATACAATAAGTGTAGCTTCCCTATTCATCTCTTCAAATCTTTTATATTAACTATAGTCAATTCCTTCAAGTTGATTCTTTTCATATACCTTAGTAGATATCAAATCCCAAGATATAAGTGAACCATTGAATTTCAAAGCAATCAATT